TAATAGGAGAACGTTTCAGAGTTTCCTGTGACACTCAGTTGTATCTGAGAAGATTTTCATTATCATCCGAAATTCATACGACGGACTACACTGCAAAGCTGTACATGGAGAACAGCTGATAAACGCATTCCAAGTAAGGCCCGGATCAAACAAGGTTGTTTTCTTCCTCCCTTTTTTCTGGTGGTTGACGGGATTATGAAGTTCCTAGATCTGATGGGGAAGTACGGGACGTAACGGACAATCGTGATGCGACTAGACGATTCGGACTTTGCAGATGACCTACCCCGTCTATCCCATACGCACCAACAAATGCAGATGAAGAAGAATAGTACAGTAGTACCCATAGTATCAGTAAACTTTAACGTATACAGGGAAGAAATCATGATCCTCAAATACAACAAGTAGAACACCAATCTAATCATACTTGATGGAGAAGCTCTGGTGCAGGTAGAAGCATCCATGTACCTGGTCAGCATCATCAATGACAAGGACAGCATTTCTGCAACTGGGGAACATATGGAATTCAAAGCAACTATCTCGCAGCCGATTTCAAAGTCATTATCTTTAACATGAACGTCAAGAGAGTTCTAGCGTACACAGAAGAAACCCGATGAACCACCTTAGCCATCACCATAAGGGCACAAGTATTTATAAACGATTTTCTAGTCAAGATACACTAGGTGTGCCGATACCATCAGCAACAACGTACAGTAAGAACGAACAATTCAGCTTTCAGCTGATGAGGAAATTAGGAAAGGACACAGTACAACAACAATGAAAAATCAATAATAAAAAATAATAAGGATAGGGGAAAAGATAACTCATCCGACTCCTGTCGGACTATCTACATGTCTGACCAAGCAGACAACAAATCATCATTCTCTCTCACACATCAATATCTTTTTTCCTTATTACATCCTTGACAAACTGTTAGCAGCTCAAAACTGAAAATAAAGGATCAGCCTCGCCATACTTAACACTTCGGAAGAGGTGCTGTTATTTACTGAGTCAACAAGACTTCCGTGTGTTAACGCTTCATGAATATCTTTCAAATACTTCCAAGCTGACTAACTCCTTTAAGAGTGCAGTAGATCCTGAGTGTAGAGGTCATCATTGTAAGATCCTTCGTGGAAGTTGGATTTTTAAGTTCGTACGACTCGTTGATGATCTACAGCATAACGCAGGGAAAACTTTTCCAATGACGTTCACCACGTATAATGTGTTTGAAACTCTGCAGTCTTTGGATAACTATTTCGTAACTACTAGCAGCCGTGTGTTTATTCGCTTTCCGAGGTAGAGTGATGATCGGTGGTGATTATCAAAATAAGCTCCTGGCTCTACTATGTTCGTCACTCTTAAATCGTTCAAAGACAATGGTTTTCCAGAAGAACGGGTGTCAGAGAATCCATGATTATATATATATTTCTTAGCCACTCTAAAGAGTCATCGGTTTGTGGGACAAAGTATATTTTTTTGATCATACTTATTGTAGCCTGATAATCCTAAAATATTCCAGGCTGTTTGATATAAACTCTCCTTTTTCCTCAATCATTCGGTCTAGAATACAACGAACTTCAGGCGGGTTACACACGATAGTTAACATTACGATTTCGCCTTCTAAATCTGTTCAAGGCAAATACATGAGATGGGATGATCCTTCAATACTTTCCCCCACAGATCTCCAATTGTGAACTGGTATGTTTGAACAATTTAAATATATTCTTTCCCGTTTGAGAAGTTGACTTCAAAGCACTTACTTCTTGAACTTACAAACCTTGTTCAACCCATCATTTTGATTGCCATCATAAAACTTGTGAATAATAATCGCAACAGTCGTAGATATTATGACTCGACAAGAATCATTTCTGAACCATTACCATTATCCACAAACCGGCCTTTCTTCAGCTGTAAAAAAATACGGTTAGTTGATCCAAAAGCACGCTCTCTACTGAGCACTCTCTTCTCACCATTCACTCAAACGACTACGGGATTTAACGGATTTATGCAGCAATTTGTGATTAGATTTGTGTATTATATTTGTTCTCAGATACATGAACCTTCTTCTAAATCAAACATAGTAAAACGCTTGAATAATATTAGCGTCAAAGTAACTGCTCCGATGGGATATATCTAAGCAGAAAATGATCAAAGTTAAATTATGAATATCAGTAGATACATTCAGTTACTATTGCGTATATCTTTGTTTGTCAAGTGAGTTCAACTGACTGTCAATGTATGTGATTTATTTACGTCGCTTCAAAAGCAATTAGGACTTTTGTGTTTACCTGCTTCTTCTCAGAAGTAGTGAGAAACTGTGTAAGAAAGAGTAAATATATTAATGCCAACTAGATTTAAGATTAATTTGGAATGTCGAGTAGGGTTTACTTTCTGAATGGTTTTTCAGTATAAATAAAAAGAGGTTGTGAATAGGCACTAAGAAAAGAAATAGATTGAAGTGGTATTTTGGATACAAATTTTTGAAAATATCGGCTGAACAGCAGCGGGGCCAGTGTTAGACAAGTGTAGGAGTAATTGTTCGGTTGACCCTCAGTACAGCGAAATCTGTACCAAAAATGTGTATGACTAACAATTATTCGGGATTGGCATCGGTCAGCTCATTCAAGAGAAAGAGAAGGAATATAGATGGAAATCTCAGGTAACTAAAATGCTTATCGTACTAACTTGATTAGGTAGATCGTTTAAGCCCGAATATCAAGTGACTGGAAAGGCTTATTACAAAAATATCAAAACATACTTACACCTGTCACCCCACATCGTGGAGGAGCATAGGCTGCATACAAGAATTCCTCACCAAACTCTGTTCAGAGCAATCCTTTTCAGTTGTTTCCAGTTGCCATTCCTTCATTTTGATGTCTACTTCCAATTCTCGGCACACTGTGTTCTTTGGTTTTACTCTTTCTCTTTATTTCAAGTTGGCTCTTGCCTCACGATGGACTTTGTTGATTTCCATAATGTATATTCTATGCACCTCCATCGTCTTTTATTAATTTCCTCATCAGCTGGAAACTGGGATGTGATGCCACAGAGTAGGCTGTTTTTTTGGTATCTAGCCAACGAATCTAGAATATATCACATAGACAACTATTTATTATTACCTATACATTTTTAATGATGACTGTAGCAGTTCTTCAAGTCTCGGCTCCGTACAATACAACTGACTTTACTTTAAACTGAAAATTCTCGCTTTGATTTTGTCTGAAAACTGTTTTGAGTTCAAGCCAACCTTCAATTGGAGGATTGCTGTCCTTTCATTGTAATACCGTGTTTTTACATCTGCATCTGGTCCGTTATGACCATCACTGATGAAGCTCAGATACGTAATACTCTTCATTTTTCCAGAGCTCCTATATCAAGTGTGTTTTGGTTGTTATTCACTGTGTTTCACTTTTCTTTGTATATGTCGATTTTTTATTGCTGTAATGGCTGCTTCTACATTGGTTGCCTGCACCTGAATTTTTCGCTGTGTATGAGGTAAAAGATTTAGGTCATCTGGGAAGTCCAAATCGTCCGGCTTCATCCAAGCTGTACACAGTATTGCGTGATTCTCCTGAGATTGGAAGGTCTCAATAATCCTGTGAATCACCATATAAAAGAGTAAAAGCAAAAATAAGTAACCTTGTCAGGTACCATTCTTCACTTGGAATGGATCTGTTAGTTGTCCTCCAAGCCCCACTTTGCAGTATTGTTCATCGCATGAATTTTGGATGAGAGTGACGATCTTCTCAGTTACACGATAGTGCTGAAGCAGGCTCCATAAGGTTCGCCTATCCAAACTGCCAATCGGTTTCTCATAGTTAAGGAAGTTGATCTTTAGTGACGAATTTCATTCAACTGATTGCTAAACAATGGTTATTGTGTTAATAAATTGAATTTTAGAAATTTTTGTCTGAAAATTCGCCAACATTTAGATATCTCTCCTTTTTGAAACATGCTCTGAAATAATATAGTGTAAGTCAAATAATTCATGAAATAATTCACTCAAAATCCCCTCTTGACTTCTCCATTAAACGTGTACCTTCTCATATCGACTTATGGATGTTTCCATTATCTTTTTGATACAAAGAGGGAAGAGCGAAGCAGACTTGAGAATACAAGTGAGTCAACTTGGTTTAATCAATGTTTATTGTTGTTTTTGTAATTTACACCTGTTACTCCCAATGGAGCATAGGCCGCCAACGAGCATTCTCCAACCCACTCCGTCCTGGGCCTTCTTTTCTAGTTCTATCCAGTTTTTGTTCATTCTTCTCATGTCTGTCTTCATTTTTCGGCGTAATGTGTTCTTTGGTCTTCCTCTTTTCCTTTGGCCTTTAGCATTCCAAATCAATATTTATAGCCAGATAAAAATAAGTTACAGACATGCGATAAGCAGGATAAGAAATGTACACACATACTCTTGCATACAAACAGTCAAGGTTGATAAATCACTAAGTGACAAGGTGAAAATGTGGTTCAAGAAAAATGAATAAATTAGTTTGTCTTGAATTTAGAATAAACTATGTGGATTTAACATATCACATGACTTTACACTATCCCTACAACTGTGGTGCCTATTTATTCGGGAATCAAATATAATGACAAGAAAGAGATAATCATTATTTAAAAATAGTACTTCACACTAATCACGGAGGTTAATTACTTTTTGGTTGAGTATCAAGAATAAATGACGTTCATGAGAAAGTGTTTTACCTAATATAATCCTCTGCCAATCTAGTATCTAATCACCTTTCATTACAAAATTAAATGACTGTGATTACGTTACACCTATCATATGGTATATCAATTATGTCAATTATTTCAATTATGACATTTAAATTTGTAAGAGAAATCCATACTTTGACTGATCACATTTGAACGTTTAATCAGGGTCATAGGAAAATACTATAAATTAGTAATGAATGTAAAATAACTGAATGAAATATATAATGTTAAACTATATGGTAATTGAAATAATTTAATGTGTTTACAGTGACTAACTTATAATGAAGTTTGATTATTTTGTGTTTGGATTAATTTTACTATATTCAGATTCTATTTATGGACAAATTGGTAAGTCTCTACGTTTTACACCTTGGAATTTATTACTTTTGGCCAATTTTTTCGCAATCTTTTAAAACAGATAGCGAAATAATAAAAAAACAGGTAAACTTTAAAATTGACTATGCTTATAGAAATATAAAAGTGTTTGTCATCAAAAAACATTGTGCAAACAAAATATAACAGTACTTACCCCTTTTACTAAAGTTATAAGAAGAATCTGTTCATTCTTGTGAGTTTGTTGGTTCTATTGATGGACTTATTGACAAGTAAAATTTGAAGATGTATCATTATTGAAGAAAATAAACTTGATAAGCAGCATCCTTATCTGATTTTATGAATTTCCATCATTCTTCGACATTAGAAGTTGTATCATTTGCATAGGCACTAAAAATCTAAAATGCCTGAATGAGTCGTCATATCCTTTATACATGTTAGCAAACAATCGAAAATTGAAATATGGTACTAATTAACTTTATAAGGATCACGATTATTGTATTTATAATAACCATAAGGGTTTGATTAACTAAATAATATTTCGAATTAACTTTTTAATTTATCATGTTCTATTCTACAGAAACGACCAAAGATGCGTCTGTAACTGATCAAGGATGGGTGCGATTTAGTAAGTTCATATGTTATTTTCATAATATTGTAGTTATTTCAGTATATGATATTTTCAATCACTGATAAAAATACTACTGTCTTTTTTGGATCATATACATAAATCAACGCTGATTTCAACAACAGTAGGTATTTCAAGTGAATAACCTTATTACATCTAATGTAAATAAATCGAAGTAATTTCTTTTTGACTGAATCCTATTTACTTTGAATTTTTGTTTGTTTGTCTGCGATTTGGTTCATTGTTCATCACAGGATTTTGCTGGTTTTTTTAATCTTATATAAAGCTATGAATCATAATCCACTCATAGTGAACCCACGGAGACTGCCGCAAAGTAAGTTATTAGATTGTTAAAGTGATTTGTAACTTTATTAACTTATGGTTTCTAAATGCCACGGACAGGTATTTGTTCGATTAGCACTAAGTATGAAGAAAATATGACATCTGACTCAGAATGATATGAATTTATCTTTATTTTGTGGGTTCACTTCAGCTGCTTACAACTGTATCTGTATTTATATTTATATATTCATGATAAACAATAGTTACTGAAAAGTTTAACAGATAAGAATTCGCATTATTCTCCTTGCATACATGTGAGTAAGATTATTTGGAAGGAGATATAATGAGATAGTAATTATCTAGAATCCAAATACTGATAAGATCCGTTAGTAACACTTAAAGAAGGTCTGAATAGCATTTAACGATTAAGTGGATGAAAATCATGGTGTGGGAAGATGATTTTGAAAGGGGAGGAAACAACGACTAGCTAAACATTGGATCGCATAACAAAATACATACGGTAAGAATTAAAATCACGTGCTGTTTTATTCAAAGTTATGACCTGTGTAAGCCAGTTATACCTTGACGCCTATCTTTTATGATTGCGTAGATCCGGTTTGAGTTTGTTTTGTTCGCTAGTGATTCGGAAAAGAGTAGAAAAGTTAAGTTTATTTTGGCCGATCGATAGTTTCGAAATATTGATCAGCGTAGAATATACGGTGGGTATTGATGAAATATCGATCTACTAAACTATTAAGGTCTGCAGCAGGTCCAGTCCCCAGATGCTTGTGGTTATGCTCGTAGATATGGACGCATGGTTATTCTTCTGCTCCTCTAGTGTATGTGCTCTGATATGTACGTGGAAACTAACAAGTTTAACCAGAGGTACTGAGAAGAGAGAATTTGCCAATGTTTATATTGTTTCATAAAACAGTTTGCTTTATGTAAGGCGACATGGGTAAGTAATATGCACACCAGTGTTTGTTACCTAGTAAATAAATGAAATGAAAATGAATCCATATTCTTAATCGTCGATTTTTGTTCTTGCTTTTCTAAGATTCTTAAAGAGGACTTATTGCGTGATATTATTATTACTAGTTTACTAAATGGACACGAAAGTGAAATACCTGGAAGCAGAAGGTTAAGAAGATCGAAGAAGAAAGAACGGGAACAGAGAATGATTGATGTAAAAATGAAGGAACAGTCAAGTCTGAGACCATTGATTGACATTTTGCAAATTAAGCATTTACTGTATGGTTCTCAGATTTTACTAAGACATTCTGTGTTAAAACACATTCGATTGTCTTCGCTTGTGATCTCGTTCACTAAATTTATATTAATACTACATTAATTTTCTTCTCAATTAGTCAATTAAATTTAAGGAAATGAGGTTTTCACAGAAATCGTTTTCCAAGTTAAACGTTTTTGATAAATCATCAATAGATTATATTCTTTTGAACTCAAAGAGTTTTCTCTATATTTTGTATACATCAGAATATGCGCACTATCCTACTTCGAAAACCAGTACTGGAGTGAGTTTACCCTATGGCTGAAATAATAATGATGATAACTCTACTATTATAGTATATATTTGGAAATATCTGTTCGTTTGGAATTTCACTTCATTGAACGTGAATTTTGTACTTGTTATAAAGATATAACCGATGTCTTGTTTAAAGAAAATATAATTTGACAAAAATTCGTTGACGAAACTGAAAATATTACAGTATGAATGTAACTTTATAGATTATATTCTATATAGGATACTTCAGTTACTGATCAAATTTAAAACATAATTGCTGTCTATGGAAATGATCTTATGGTAAATCATTTTGTTTGTGTATGTGAACTTCTGAAGAGTCGCATACTAGGACGTAACGGCAGTCCAGTGCTTCTAGATTTCCTACGGTGGTCTAGTTTTAATCGAATCACAAGTTCAACTATTAAATTTTCCATATTAATTTATCAAATTCTTTAGGTCGCTTCACATTAAAAAGTACTCAGATATTTTATCAAATGTGAATTTTACAACTCACTTAGGCCTGTTACCCCTCATGTAAAGCATAGGTTGCCCACCGGCACTCTCCATCCAACCCTGTTTTGGGTAACCCTTTCCAATTCTTTTCAGTTGCTATTTATCTTTTTGATGTCTGCTTCCAATTCTCGATGCAGTGTGTTCTTCGGTAATTTTACAACTTATAGACACATAAATAAAAATCTGAAGTGTCTGTTCCAGTTATCAGAAATATTTGTTTAATAAAATAACTATTCACATACTATTCTAAAAGTGTATCATAGAATAATTCTTTACTTCATAGTGCTTATAAACAGTACGGCGATATTTAAGATAAATGTTCTGATTTTACAAAAATAAGTAAAATCGGTTATCGGTGTGCAAATCATAGATATCCACTTTAAAATGTTTGTTTAATGAATAATCATATCAACTGAAGCAAAAGTAAGTTTGTCTGTACTGGGCTGTTTGAATCCGTTGTCATAAGTGATTTTAACACAAAAGAGATAACCAGTTTATTTGATTAAAAACCACTTCATCAAGATATAAGTCTACTAAATAGCTTTTTAAACAAATTTTTCTTAACTCTGTTAAACAAGATATAAATAGTTGAAATCAAAGACTATCTGGTAGACACTTAACTATTAATCAAGCATATGAACAATAGGTCAAATGGACTGTTAAACGCCAACGAAATTCTCAGAACATAACTAATGTATTTATAGGCTAATAAATTAAATAACCATGTAGTGAACAAGAACACTACTGGGGACAATCAAATGCACCTAAGCACAAATTACAGACTAACTTATTAAATTTTGATAACTATACAGTCAACAGTTAATTTACAAAATAACAATCAATTGTCACAATCTTCACTGTTCCTTCTGTAAATATCAATCCATCTTCTCTGATTTCATGGTTTATGTATTTCCCTACCAATTGCGCTTCATTTCAGTTCTTTCCTTATCGGTCTTCTGCCAAAATACATTCTATGTCTGACCATCACCATATACTACTTACGTGAATATAAGTAGCCTACAATACAACCATATTTCCGACCAATGAAAATTCCAGCAATACCTATTACTTTTTGCTCTCAGAAATTTTGTGGAAGTTAGTTCATTTCTTATACTAAATTTGCTAATGTTAAGGTTAGTTCAGATTAAATATTTCATTCCTTCTTCTTTACTTGTAGGCTAAATGAAGACTTCAGATGCGAAATCATAAAAATAAGGTCATATTCTAAAGAAATATGTAGAAAGAAATATATCATCTCCTTTGAGTTACTTGGAATATTGAAACTTAAGAATATTGAATCTATACAACTTATTTTCTTTTATGATTTACACGTGACTTATATTAGAAATCAGTACTACTTTACGTAGTTTTGTTCATATGGACGGAAAACAAGACCTTTCAATGGATCTAAAGAATCAGTTGTTCGCAGATTTTTTTAGATCAGTTTATTACAGGTAAAAGGCGTAGAGCTATCATTTTTGACTAGAAGTACGAACTGAAAAGTTATGTGTTATTTGTCAATGCAGTTTTATAGTACTCAGCTTTATTCCCAAATTTTTAGTCGCCTTCATCTGTAATTAAAATGAATGAACTGCAGAACCCTTTTTGCTATAGACAGAGTTTTAAATGTATCATGGTTCGGCGTTTAAAATAAAAGACAGTTAATATATTTGAAACTGGTTTTTGGAGTTTAGAGTAAAACTTAATAAACGCAAACACATAATAGATTGTGGCTTTAAGTTTAGTTTTTTTTCCGATTATGGATTTGTTTGGTTCTTGTACCTGAATACTAGGTTGTTGTTTTTGGGTTAACTTTAGAGTTATACTTATTATTTTCTTTTAGTATCTGTTTAAGGTTGAGGTCTTTTCACTTTATGGTTGAGCTTATGGGTTATGAGTTGTCGAAATAACTTATATGAACCCAAGCTGATAAAATATAACAATAAAATGCAAGAAAGTTTTGAAGCTGATAGTTCATTGGACGTAAAACGTATTATTCAATGTCAGCTACAGCAAACGTTTGTATATGTTAGACTATAATCGACTTTATGTGCTTACTTATGTCATTGGAATAATCGTTTCTATCCATTCGAGTTACGCAGAATGATGTGACTGTTTGACTTACATGGTCTTCAGTCAAACCTTGTCATTATTCAAAAAAACATTCTATTCAGGTCTACTTTAAAATAGTGACCATGTCCTGCTTCTTGAGTAAATTGTAGTGACTTTGCTCCTTTAATCGATCACTTCGATAACCATTATAATATAAATCTCAACGGTGTTTGAAATCAGAACTTAGAGAGAAGCGGCAATTATAGTTTATTAGCGGATAGCGTAGTGAGGTTTGACGCACGGTATTAGGGAACGATGGTAAATCAGTTGATGAGGTCATGAATCTTCATCGACTGAGATGGTTGGGCCACGTGTTACGTATGCCTGATTACCGATTACCACGACGCGCTATGCTGACTAGTGTAGGGGATGGTTGGAAGAGAGTTAGGGGCGGCCAAACCAAAACATGGCATCAGTGCTTGAAGTCACTAACTTCTAGTCTGAGCCATGTTGGTAGATGCAGACTACGTGGTTGGGGTCCGCGTGACTATCGTAACCAATGGTTGGAGACTCTAGGTGACATGTCTCAGAATCGATCACAATGGCGCAGGTGTATACCCTCTTTATCTTCCCTTAAACCTTGAGATTAAAATTGCTTCATAACTTTTTTGCTTCCTATACTATATCCTTATATACAACCTTTCTTTATATACTACCACCACTAAATTAATTACTTCTATGAATCCGATGTTCATCTTGTTGTGCTAACGAGGTATGGCAACCTGGACCGATGCATATATGTGCCTGGTCCTACGTTGTAGTTGACTGACTGACTGGATAGCGTAGATCACAAAGCCATAAGCTCATTTAGCGAATTTGAAGCGGAGAAGCGAGTAATTATTTAAGCAAATCTATGGTCAAATTGCATAAGGGCGCAGAAAGGCAAAACACGGACTAATAATAGG